AAATTCAAGAATAATGTGTAACTAAAGATAATAAAACAAAAAAAGGTTTAAATTATTATTATTCTGCGAGTAATTGAGTGGTTTATGATAAAAAAATCACTCTGTATATTACACTTATAAATCATAAAACTTGTAATCAGGATACAAGTAAGGAAATAGGAGATCATGTAGCTTTAGGAATAATCCAACAATTTATTAAAATTAAATACTATTTAACACTATCTAGATAGTGATCCAACTGTGCCGCGAGCCCTCTGTGCTGGATTTTTGAAATCGAACTCCAATTGTTTCTATTTGTTTGACCTATGAATAGTTTTTCACACGTTTCCTATTACACTTAATAAACACCCGATTTCCCCCTACGTTGATTTTTTGTTTAGGAATCTAATAAATATTTATAATTTTTATAAATAAATTTTTATATTTATTCTTTCAGAGTTTTATTATACCTATAGTAAAATCGAGAAGTTTGAAAATTTTAGTTAGTTTATTTAAAATATCCGAATTATGAGTTGTATGTTATTTATAAGTAATAGATAACATGAAACGTTTAGACGTACCCAAACATGTATATTTTTTGATTAATTTCAAAATTAAGTTTTCCCTAAACTTTTAATAAAAAAATTGAATTTACTTTGTTTATTCTTGAATTTAATTGAATTGAATTGAGTGGGTTATGATAAAAAAATCATCCTGTATATATGTATATCATTTGGTTACTCATGTATTTATAATAATATTAAAAATTTCATTTCAGAGATGAAAAAAAACGTATTAGATGATATTGAGTCAGATAAATCTAAAATTTATTCTTATAATTATAAGAAAAAAAAATGGGTGCGTAAATACAAATTTACTCCTACTCATTGTTTATAAAAATGTAGTAAAATTTCATTAATTATATTTGTTTTAATTGTTTAAAATAATTTTCAGAGAAAATATGTACATTAGAGTACATATTATCTCAAATCTATGTTATTTAATGCTGAATTAATTCGATACAATGCTTCCTTTTCATACTAATATACCTACGTTGATGATAAATTTTGTTTGCCTTAATCGTTGTGTTTTATTCATTAAAGTTCAAAAATCAGAAAAATTAATATGTATGTATATGATTTATTCAAATATAATGTCTGTTAAATAAATCTTTTTTTTTATTATTCACTATACTACAACTTTATTATAAGGATTTCAGTCATTAAAATATAGTAATATTTTTTTAAATTCTATAGTTATATAATGTACAGTTCTTGCTATATATTGTAATATATGTTATTATGTACGTTATTAATTTAAAATTCATTAAAGTGTACTATTTATTATTAAAATGTTTTTCAAATTTTATAAATAATTTTATTTGTATTTATTAACATGTCACTTGATAATGGTTTATCTATTATTTATTCAAATATATTTATTTTTGAGCATAATCGTGTATTTATAATTATTTTATAACTATATTTCATTTCAGAGATAAAAAAAACGTATTAGATGATTTTGAGGTAGATAAATCTAAAATTTATTCTTATAATTCTGTAAAAAAAAAAAAAAATGATTGCGTAAATACAAATTTACTCCTACTAATTGTTTATAAAATTATAGTAAAACTTCATAAGTAATATTTGTTTCGTAATATATTAGCTTATAAATGTATATATTGATTTCCATAAATTTATATGAGACTTATAATATTCAAAGAAAATATGTATCGTATTAATTGTGGTATATTATCACAATTCTATGCCTAAGTAGCAGTAGAAATACATAATCAACCAGATTATGATTATAAAAAAAGATTTCTAATATATTTTTTGNCCAGATTATGATTATAAAAAAAGATTTCTAATATATTTTTTGAGAAAACTAGTGAAATATAGTTGATAATTTTTTGCTATTTAATGCTTAATTAACTTAACACAAAACTCCCTTTTCATACTAGTATACCTAAATTGTTGATTTTTTTTTCATTCTTAATCTTTGTATTTCATTCATGAAAGTTTTAAATAAGAAAAAATAATATGTATGTAATATAATTTCTTTTAAATAAATTTTGGTTTTTTTAAATTCCTACTTTATCATAAAGCTTTCATTCATAATAAATTGTGGGATTATAATTTTAAAGCTTGCCCTTGGCAAAATTTAACTCTACATCATAATTAGTTTTAAGAGTAATAAATATTTATTACATATAAATATTTTTTTATTCTCAATTGTTAAGTAAATAATATTTTGGTGTCCATATCTTGTCTTTTATAAGTATACTAACATTTTTTAATAGTATCATAGAGTAATTTAGAATAAAATTGCTTACGTTTTTCCTGACGCATACAACTTGTAGTATAATGTAGTTACAAAAAACTTTTTTTAACCTATTCAAAATTACAAGTGATAGACTTAAACATTGTTTAATGGCTTAAATAATAATATCAAACAACGGGAAATTTTTTTTTCCAAAATTATAATTATTTTAGGAGAAATTTATTCTTTTGTAAATATGGTTGTATAATAAACCTATATTAATATATAATAAAAAGGGAAAGGATTCATAAAATATAATATATAAAAATTAAATTTATTATTATTTAATCTTCTTCTTCTTCTTCCTTGCCTTAATCCAAACTACTAGGGGTCGGCCACCCTTATCCNTGTAATAGATATTTAGCACTTATAATTTTATTTTATTTATATTTTTATATTGATAATTTTTCTAATAAACCACATTATTATGGAAGATGATAGATATAAACACCAATACAAATGTGAAACATTAACTCAAATTAGTAGAATAATAGATTGCGCACAGGTCTATTCAAGTTTCTTTGACTAGCCAATGAGAAGGATTTTGCAATTAAAATATAAAACATTAAGTCTCCCCCTCATAAAACAGGCCTATAAAAGAGCAATTTCTAGCTCATTCGCCACCTTATTTTTTTTTATAAAAATCTGGTCATGAAGCGTTTTTGTACCAGACTGTTTCGCGATGTGCTCTCTCTGACTTAGAATCTTTTTCACACTTGGTGTTTTTTATCTAACTATCTTATAAGTAATGTAATAAAAACATTAATAACTTAAACTTTTTATTTTATTTTTTTTTAATTTTAAATTATTATGAATTAACATTTTCTTATTTTTGTATTTTGTATTTTGTGAGTTGTTCCAATTAAGAATTTTTTTTAATTCTTCAATTGGATTGTCTATTTAATAAGTGCATTTCGAAAATCTACCTTAGCACATCAAGTGGCTAAAACTGTTGGTAAAACAATGGTTTATGGCATGTCACTAAGGAGATCTTAGAATGTATTTTAAATTTAAGTAGATACGTGTTTGATTGATTGCACTACCTCTGTCGACTCTCATATCAAATACACAATTTCATAAAATATTGATAGTTTATTGAAGTCATTACCCTAGCACATCTAGCGGTTAAAACTATTCGTAAAACAATAGTTTATAACGTGTCACTAGGGATTGGTTCTCATAAGCTATCTGGTTATAATTTTTCTTATTTTAAAATATAAAGTAACACATATACTCAGACACCAAGTATAGAAAGGAATTACAGTGAAGTAATATTTCAAGTTTAACAATTTGCATAATTTTACAAAAATTAATAAGTAAATAAAAGTCAGTGTTCTCTTTATATATATATCTTTTACGCAATAAACAATCAAGCTAGCTGGACACAAGGTAAGAAATTACATTTCTAAGCATGTCATAAAATTAAGGATAGACATAAGATAAATCAAGAATAACTTTTATCGAGGGAATAATAGAATTGTTAAAGGTGGATAATTTGATAAGTTATTAATAACTACTTTCTCAACATTCGGATCATAATAGTACGCGTTCAACGTAGATGTTTTAACTTGTATAAAGATTAATTCAGCCATTAAGGCTTGGCGCCCAACAATTGGACAGTAGCATATTACATGAACACACGCTGTTTCCCATTCATATAGCTTGACCAATAAATATTAAGAGTCGTAAAATCCTCCTCTATAATCATTGCACATTTTATCGTAGAATAAATATGACTCAGGTGTGCGTCATACCGAATATAATTTTCCTTCAATTTACTTTTTACGACAAACCACGTTTGGTGGTAGTATCTTAATAACGAGTTCATGGATATATATATTGTATGCTATATTTTCACCTTGTAGCTAAACGTACTTCAACAATCTATTAACCATAACATCTACATTCTATTATTATTCCTCTTTCTTAATTATAAAAAAATATAAATATCACATACATAGTCAATCATTATACGTCCACTCTCTTCTTTTTTTATGACATCATTTTTAGTCTTCCTCTACCTCTTCTTCCTTTAATATTAATTTCTATAACTGTTCTTATGGCTTCCGATTTTTCTCTCCTCATAACATGACCAAACCATCTAAGTCTATTTTCTCTCATCTTATCCACAATTGACGCTACACCTATACTCCCTCTTATATGCTCATTTCTTATCTTATCTTCTCTAGCCACTCCACTCATCCATCTAAACATTCTCATCTCTGCTACACTCATTTTCTTCTCTACTTTCTTATCAATCGCCCAATACTCTGAACCATATATCATAACTAGCCTCACTACAGTCTTGTAGAATTTACTATTCATCCTCATTGGAATTTTTATTTAATCTTAAATTAAAGCTAATATTATATACTTTACTATGATAAAAAAAAAAAATTCGAAATATACATTTTCTTCTTGGTGAACATGACTACCGTATTCAAAAATATGCTATTTTTGTGTTAAAATTCTGGGTTTTATATTTTATTTTATTTGAAAATATCTTACAAGGGGAATACACTTACTTTCATGAATATTATATAACATAATTGACATAGAATAAAGTTCATAAGACATAATATATTAAACTTATTAAAATTTTTTTACTTTTTTGAAGTCGTGACGCGGTCACATTGCACTTCTGGCTTTACCGCTGGATGTCGACTGCGACACAGCTACCTCTCCTCGTCCGACAGGTCACGCGACGCCGAGTGACCAAGGGTGACGAGAACCGGTCCGGTGATGCACCAAGTATATCATTAACATTTTGTCCATTGTGACTTCCTCTTGGGAACTGATATTGTTTTTTATATACTCTTATGTATAATAATTTAAAATATATGCTAAAGTAATATCTAACTATTTGATTATTTATTTATTTAATATAATTACCACCTGAACCACAATAGTCGAAAAAGTAATTTTTAAATTTAACTTAGCTTAAATTGCTAATTTTATCATGCGACAAAGCAACGAACAGTTGCCGAATCGGTAACACTTGTGTCTTTCACACTTAGCGTACGAGGTTCGAATTCGCCTGTGGTAATTATATTTTGCATTTTTTAAAAAAAAAAATTTTTAAATCATTTGATTTTTATCTCATTTAGATTCAATAACTTCAATAAATATCAAGTATCCCATCACTATAGTCTCCCTTGGTGAGAAGAAATATCTTATTCATGTTAATATTATTTTACTATGTGGTTCTTTTTGTGGCTACGATTTATTTAGCCAACCCACACTCGACCTACTATTTTCAACTATACGTCAAACGATTACAATTCGTATTTAGTTGAAGATATTACGCTTAAAAAATTCATTGACTCTTATTTTTTGTCATTTAATATATAGTAATACAGTTAATTTTTGTTTTTATGTAACATAAATAACGAAAACATTGCTTATTTTTAGTCATATATATAATTTTTTGAACAAATCAAAATCTAAAATTTATATTCAATATGATTTATCAGTTTAATTTATAAAAATGTAGTATTGAAGATAACAAAACTTAAATGCGTTTTATAAAAAATAAAGCTATGGACTGTAATTATATATTTTTAATGCCCATATTTATTTTTGATGTTATTGCATAACAATTATTGTTCTGTTATAATAGTTCAACACTCGTGGACAATACATAAAAATACCATCTAAATTGAATTTTTAAACTAAAACTTGTGTAGTACTCCATTCATATGTTAAATGTTGGGTTACTAATAATGATATTTAAAAAAATGAAATTACTGTTGCATTGAAACATCTAACCATTATTGTATGTTCCCGTGAGCAGAACAATAACGCACACATGTGATTGTAGTAATCATCATTGTGTTATGACGCATCGTATGTTAATATCTTGTTCTAAAAAAAAAAAAAAGAATCATAATTTAATTTCCCACGTTCACGGCGGGAAACGATAAATAGATTACACGTTAAATTTGTTATGTATGTTTTGCTGTCTGGTCATACGTCGGCCAACTTTTAACACATGACATTTTCATCTATTTCAAATTATTTTTAACATAACAAAGTTTCATCGTGTGCATACCAGTAGACACGAAGATTTGTACATCATATGCCACCTCCATTGGGAAAATATCGGTTGCAAGTTTTCAATTGACCTCAAACTTTCTCATGCTCTCGTTGTCCATACCTGACCCGAGCTGTAAGAAAGTGACTCACGCGAGCTGAACACCTTATAACGAGCTATTCCGGATAATGAAATCTTGAAACGTCGGTAAGACAAAGACGACAGCAAGTGTCTTGGCAAGTCACATATAATATCGTCGTCGTTATAATGTTATTTTATTATTTTATAAAGGTATGTGTGTTCGAAATAATGATAATCATCTCTCTCGAGCAAATAGTGTTTTCCACAGAATATATTGAACGATCAATATACTGAAGGAAAATAGTTGTAGTCAAAGATCATAACTTATGGCCATAATGAGAACAAAACGTTAGTAAAAATAATAATAACGTATTACTCATATTGATGAGCGGACAAGTACTAATTTATATATAGACTCTTATTATAGTAAACATGTAATAGTATACAGATAAATGCGAATCGTGGTCTAGTGAAACGGAAGTACCTGAAAGGTCACATTGGAGAACACATAACGACCACACCGACTCCAATGCATAAAATAAGTAACGATAATGAAGTTAAACGTGAAAATTGGATTTATATACAAGGATTATATTTTATCAATTTTAATTGTATTAAAACAATGCAACTTAATAAGACTCTATTAATGTATTATATGTTTCATTATAAACGATATGGCACTTTATTTGGAATAATTTCATAAATGTTTGTGTAAAAATACTTCCAATAAAAAAGATTTGATAACAAGTTTAAACTAGTTTTAATACATATTGTAATTTTTCGAAAATTTTGTTAAAATTTATAATAAATATTATTGCAGTAATTGGAATAGTTTTTAATACAATTTTAAAATTTGTATTATCTATCAATTAAATTCAAGAATAAACAAAGTAAATTCAATTTTTTTATTAAAAGTTTAGGGAAAACTTAATTTTGAAATTAATCAAAAAATATACATGTTTGGGTACGTCTAAACGTTTCATGTTATCTATTACTTATAAATAACATACAACTCATAATTCGGATATTTTAAATAAACTAACTAAAATTTTCAAACTTCTCGATTTTACTATAGGTATAATAAAACTCTGAAAGAATAAATATAAAAATTTATTTATAAAAATTATAAATATTTATTAGATTCCTAAACAAAAAATCAACGTAGGGGGAAATCGGGTGTTTATTAAGTGTAATAGGAAACGTGTGAAAAACTATTCATAGGTCAAACAAATAGAAACAATTGGAGTTCGATTTCAAAAATCCAGCACAGAGGGCTCGCGGCACAGTTGGATCACTATCTAGATAGTGTTAAATAGTATTTAATTTTAATAAATTGTTGGATTATTCCTAAAGCTACATGATCTCCTATTTCCTTACTTGTATCCTGATTACAAGTTTTATGATTTATAAGTGTAATATACAGGGTGATTTTTTTATCATAAACCACTCAATTACTTGCAGAATATATATAATTTAAACATTTTTTTTTTTTGGTTTTCTTTAGTTACACGTTATTCTTGAATTATTAACTATGTAATACTTATTAAATTCATCCCTTATGCCTTGGAAGGGGGTCAACTTAGTTTTTTTAAATGGTAACACATATTTTTAATTTAATAAAATATTTGAGTTTTTAAATTAATAGTAAATGCCATTTGAAAAAAAAAGTATGTCGAATAAAAGAGGGATATAAATATTATTTCTCATAAAAAAATTGTATTGATTCATAAACTTTTCAATAAGTTATAGCATTATAAAGTTAAAAATGTAAAATAAAAAATCGAGAATTTTCACACAAAAATTGCATTTGGTAACTATTTTTACCGTAAAGACAAAATAAAGTCCGAAATTTATTTATTTCCATAATAAAGTATATTAAATTAAATTTAATTTAAATTTAAATTTTTGTGAAAAAGTTGTCATTTTGAATCCCCCCAGTGGGAAGGTTAAAGGTTCAGATTTATATAAAAAATATACCATATGATAAGTAATGACATTATGCATTAAAAAAAATAAAAATTATATTGATATTGTCATTTAAAAAATTTATAGTTTTAAGTAAAAAAAATTGAAAAAATGTCAAAAATTAGCGATTATTAAATTTTGTAATTCTTTTGAAAATGGGGGAACATTTACGGAGAACAAGGGAAATTTTTTAAATTTTTGAGGGTATTGTCTTCGACTAGATACGATCTGTGATCTTTTGAGGAATCGTTGAAAAAAATCTGTTCTGTGAGAGCTGAGAAAAAGTGGTAACAGACACAAAAAAAAACACATTATAGTAAAACTAAAACGTTTTCAGCTTCGTATCGAAGTTAAAACATTTGCGATGTATAAAAAATCAAGATGCTAATAATTCTTCCATATCTAGTGTTGAACAAAAGAATATTCTCAGTTGGAAGTCATTAACAATCTTAAATATATATGCTAAGGATGAGACGCTGTTGTTATTATATTATGTTTTTTATATTTCTCATTAGGTATTTTTCAGTCGAATTTTATCTCTTACTAAGATATAAAAATGATCATATATTCTAAAATAATGATTTAAAATTTATATAATGTTCCAATTAATAAGCTAAATAAATATGTATGTTATTATTTAAAAATATAAATGCGACATTTTTATAAAACATTAGAAATAGATCTAAATATACTTATTAAATGTTAAATCTAGAGTTACATAATAACCTTAAAAAAATCTATTGATAAATTCTCAAAATTGATTACTATGTTGGTTTGGGTTATTTATAAAATACAGGTATATGTGTATTTCACACTTTCCTGTATAATATTTTTACAAATGACTAAATATAACTTAATGAACTTTTAGTTGACTATCCATTATGCTGTATTCAAAGAAAAATATTACTAATGGCCACTGAAATCAAAGTTGTATATTTAATAAAAAACAAAAAAAATCTATTAATTTAGTATTTAGTGAATTATATTTTGGATTGTGTAATAGAATAGTAAATAATTTAAAGCCGACTGAAATTATAGAAACGTCCATGTATGAGATGTTCAATATATTAGGAAACATCCATTTTTTAGTTACTTTTGACTTTTTTAAATATATATTTTTTTGTGTAATATACATGTACAATATATGAAGGATCACAATTACAAGTAACTAATTATTTTTTATGATGTTACTATTCGCAGGTACGCAGCATTTATTGTCAATTAAGACTTTATCAACAGATATGCTTAATGTATAGTAGTTTATAAGGCATTATGTTGTTAGATAACATTTATAAATACACCAATGGGCAATATAGAAAACATATCTGTCGATAGTCATAATTGACAATAAAAGCTCCGTATCTACGATAGCGACGTCATAAAAAAAAATTAGCTATCTATATTTGTAATCCCTCGTGTATTATACATGTATATTCACTCAAAATTTTGAAACTTTTTGAAAATTTGAAATTTAAAAATAATCATTCTGTATATAGATTAGGGTGGTTCTTATTCTATAAACTTTCATTGATCGATCTCCGTACCCACCAATTTTTTTGTTATTATATATCAGACATTTGAGTAAAATTTGGTTTTGATAATTTTTAAAAGATATTTAAAAAAATTTTCTAAAATTATTTTTACTTGCTCAAAATAAAAAAATAATAATAACAAATAATGAAAAAATATTTGCTAAAATTCACTTTTTGAACATAAATCATTCTTAACTTTCAACATAATAACTTTGCAACAAAATGTTTCGTATAAAAAATATGTAAAATTTAATTTTCTAAATCATTAGTCTTATGTGAAATTATAGTCAGACGAATACTTTTGTTATATCACCAAAACAGTACTATTCCGTGGATAAGATAAAAAAAAAAAATACCTTTTTTTTACAAATAACTCAACTACCCTCTTACACATTCTATAAAACCCCACAGAAAAAGATACTATCAGAATGACCATTTATTTAAAGGAAATGACAACTATTTTCTGCAAACTAATATTTCTATTCTTGTCATGAATGTTTTTTTGTTATTGTTATATATCATTTTACAATTATTATATTTTATAATAATACTTAAATACGTTTTCCATTAAAACATTATTTAAACATTCTTTTTTAAATTGTTTACAAATTACAAAATTAATATTTTTTAAATCTTTTTATTGTAATATTTTAATGAAATTTTTGTTAAACATTTTTTTAAGATAAATTTTACATTTTAATTTAATTAATAATTATACTATATTTTTAATAAAATATTATATTAGAAAAATTTTAAAATGGTTCAACATAATCCTATTTTACAAATCAGTTTTACAAAATAATGATTTTTATAGAATAAATATAAAACATTATCATTATGAATTTGTTATTTGGTTAGTATTTCCTATTCTTCACCTAGTTAATCAGATAACATAAAAAAAATGTTTACTGATATTTTAATACAAAACATTAAGTTAGATTATATTATTTATAGTAAAAAAACAATGAATTTATTTATATACACCAAACAAAATTTTTGTTGCTTCAATGTAAAATTGTATAAGTAATTGAATTAATATTTAATATTAATTAATTAATATTGTATGAAGATACGGATTTTATTGGATAGACTTCTTATTAAAAATTTTTATTTTTCCAATACAAATTCAAAAAAAAAACATTTTTTGTACAATTTATAGTTTTTTAGTAAATTTACGCCTTTGTTGGTTAGTAGTACACATGATAAATAAAGGAATGTAGTAAATATCTGAGAAAGTCTTGAATTACGTCGATTTTAGTATAATATAAGCTTTACAATAGTAGTAAGCAATTTTTGAACTCTTAAGCAACATAATAATTCCATATAAAAGGGAAATGCAGAGTAAGCAAATTAATAATGGTGAGAAAAAGAATATAAAAGGGAAACATGAAAAGTATACGGGGATTGGACGAGACTGGACGTTTTGTCAAAGAAACGTCGAGTTACGTGGACGCGAGTGTCTTTGTACGTTTTAATTTTGTTTTGTGTTACATTTTGATATTACCTTTTTGACTATGTGTTTGATACGTTTCTTAAATAAAATAGCTATTTAAAAACCTGGACTTAACGTAAATATTTTATATTCACCGTGTTCATAGAATATTGTGTGTGTGTGCGGCTAGAGTCAAGGTTGGACTATTGGTCCTTTAGTCAATCTTAATAATTAGTATACGAGCTGGCTAGTTTCTGGGCTTAACCGTCCTTTAGTGGGTATAGTAAAAAGGTAGTTGTGCTGGTGACTGATAAGGAGTCACCCTTCAGTCTGCTACGGCTGGTCTAAACTCTACCCCTTTAGTAGTTCACTAATTAGAAGGATTGGGGCTGATCAGTTTATCCAACGGGAGGACTCGAGAAGAGCTTGAACGACGAACTAATCGTTAATATATATATATATATATATATATATAACATTAATTAATTTGTGTAAAACTTTTGTGTCTACGTTGGGGCACTACCGACGTACGACAGGAAGTAGAGATAAAAAATATATTGTTAATATCAAAAATAAATGTAACCATTAAATATATTTTGAATAAAATAATAAATAATATGAAAAAAATGTATTAATAACTGAAGGATTTAGATTGTGAATCAAATAAAAAACAATATTTTGTAATTTGTTACAGTTAAAAATTATCTTATCGATAGAAGCATGCATATTATAATTCTGTTTACTAATAGTAATGTAAAATAAAAACAAATGATTTTTATCATCATGTGAAAAACACAGAGAATTTACGACACAGTGTAGATGTGGTATAGTTAGAACAAGTATAGATGATATCTTGCAGAGATTATAATCACTATCATAAGAAACGCTTCGATGCAAATCTGTAGATAGTGTTTAATTCTAAGAAATTGGTGCATAATTACAAAAACATCAATTCCTATTTCTTTAATTATATACTGAATAGTGGTTCTTTGATTTAAAAGTATAATGTATGAATAAATATACAGAGTGATTTTTTTATGATAACTCACTCTATTACTTGCAGAATAATAATAACACCGGCACACAAAAAAAAAAAAAAGTTGTCTGTACTTTTGAAAGGACCCACCTACGGACATATATTTTGGACCGTTGAATCCGAATTTGAAGTCCGTTTGGCCCTGTCACCCTTCAGATTTGAGTAAAATGCAAAAAACCAAAAAATAATAAAAAAATTGCGAAAAACTGCAGTCACAGCGATGAAAAAAATTTTGTGGACCCTGATTAAGTATGATTTTTATGTATTTCAATTTACTAAAACTGAATCTGAACGTTAATTAGCCCGTTGAGTCGTCAACATTTGAAAAATAGCAAAAAAACTCAAAAATTGCAATAAATCATGAAAAATCGAAATTATTGAGATGAAAACAATTTTTTGGATTCAAATTGAGTATGATTTTTATGTATTTTATTCCACTGAATTTGAATCTGAAGTTTTCTTGTCCCATTAAAGTTTTAAAATTAAAAAAAATCTCAAAAAACCAAAAAAATCAGGAAAATTGTAATNCGTTTTAAAATTTAAAAAAATCTCAAAAAACCCAAAAAATCAGAAAAATTGTAGTTATAAATATGAAAAAAAATTTATAGAACACGATTAAATACTTTTCTTGTATTTTTTCACGCATAAAATAGGAGTTTAGAATATGAAAATATAAAAAATTGTAATATTTATAAAAAAATTGACTAGAATGAAGAGAACAATTTTCTCGAATTTTAACCTCTTCATGCACGAGATTTTTTTTTCTTAAAAATAAAATATTTAAATTGCAAATCAGATTACTAATTACCTTATGATATTAAAAAAAAAAAAATAACAAACATCAACTTTTAGAAAAACTTCATAAATTATAAATCATAAAATTAAATTCATAAAATATATATAATAAAACAAATTTTAAAAGATCAATATTGAATAAGATTTTTTTTTTAATATAGAATAAAATATGTTTGATAAAATTAAATAATATGAATATTTTTTTTTTTCAAATATTGCACAATGGTATCATATGATATCATATACTAAAACCTTATTTTTAGTAAGTCAAAATCAAAAAAAAATTTATATTTTAGTTTTACTTATATCATAAGGTAATTAGCAATTATATTTTCATATTCTAAACTCCTATTTTATGCGTGAAAAAATACAAGAAAAGTATTTAATCGTGTTCTATAAATTTTTTTTTCATATTTATAACTAAAATTTTCCTGATTTTTTTGGTATTTTGAGATTTTTTTAAATTTTAAAACGTTAATGGGACAAGAAAACTTCAGATTCAAATTCAGTGGAATAAAATACATAAAAATCATACTCAATTTGAATCCAAAAAATTGTTTTCATCTCGATAATTTCAATGTTTCATGATTTATTGCAATTTTTGGGTTTTTTTGTTATTTTTCAAATGTTGACGATTCAACGGACTAATCAACGTTCAGATTCAGTTTCAGTAAATTGAAATACATAAAAATCATACTTGATCAGAGTCCACAACATTTTTTTCATCGCTTTGATTGCAGTTTTTTGCAATTTTTTGGTTTTTTGCATTTTATTCAAATCTGAAGGGTGACCGGGCCAAACGGACTTTGGATTCAGCGGGTCAAAATACATGTCTGTAGGTGGGTCCGGTCAAAAGTACAGACAACTTTTTTTTTTTGTGTGTCGGTGTAATTTAAACATNACTCAATTACTTGCAGAATAATAATAATTTAAACATTTTTTTTTTTATTATTTTTAGTTGCACATTATTCTTGAATTTTTAACTATGTAATACTTTTTAAGTTCATCCCTTATGCCTTGGAAGGGGGTCAACTTAGTTTTTTTAACTGGTAACACATATTTTTAATTTNGTTTTTTTAAATGGTAACACATATTTTTAATTTAATAAAATGTTTGAGTTTTTAATTTAATAGTAAATGGCATTTGAATTTTTAATATAACTTAATTCGTTTATTAGATACAATCATTTAAAGTTTCAAATTTTTGAATTAATATACAGGTATAATACACAAAGGATTACAAATATAGGTAGCTAATTGATTTTTTATGACATTGATATTAGCAGGTACACAGCATTGTTATTATCAATGATAGTAAGGTACATTATTGTGAGTTTATAAATACACTAACTGACAATACAAAAAGTATATCTATTGATAGTCATAATTGATAATAAACAATCCGTGACTGTGATAGCAATATCATAAAAAAACCAATTAGCTACCTGTATTTACAATCCCATGTGTCCCGCAGGGGAATCCGCAAGGATTACGGGCCTAACAACCCCGCGGACCCTAGTTTTTTTCAGTGGGGGTGGCAACACGTACCACTGCTCTTAGCCGGTCATGACTTTGGTTAGTTGGGACCGGTAGGCCTGGGCATACCTGCTTGCTAACAGCGAATAGGCCCCCCTAACCCAGCCATACCAAGTGAAAGGGTTGCTAACTTGTCACAGGGTAGTTAGCCGAAAGGTAAAGTGACCATTGGGATCCTCTATGGCACCTGGCGCACCATAGAGTATACAGCCTTATCACAGTATCGAGCTCTGCTGTGACGGACCTTTATTTCTCGACTTCTCGTGGGAACTATATGGACAAAAACATAGAAAAACCACAAAACAACGAACTTGTGACGATCAGGGATCCTACGGACAACCTGTCGGAACAAGATCGTGAACTGGCGACTCTTCGCAGAAGAATCGCCGAACTTGAAGGTCTCAATGCCAACAACGGGACACTTGGTGAACCGTCTACTAGCAAAGAGACAGCAACGTCAG